GAGCGAGTCAGATAGGAGGCAAAGCAATTATCAGTTTCCGTGTGTGCCTAGAAACAGATTCAAACTCGGGTGTGTTCTCTCTGAACCGTCCCAAAAATGTGTGCGTTACCACAGGCATGCCAGAGTTCTCCAAATTCTCATCTCCTGCCTTGTGTGGCCACAAAAAGTGCGGGTGTAAGGGAGAAAGGGAGGGAGGGTTTACCTTGGGAAGGAGGAGGATGGTCGGGTCATTCACTCCAAGCATTGTAAGTAATTGACTTCAGATTTGTTTTGTTCTGGGGAGATTTTAATTAAGCATTTTTATATGCTGTTTAATAAACATTTGTCCATAAGCGGTATCTTGTGATCCCCATCAGTAAAGCAGGAGGATTAATTTGCATGCTGTTGCTTGTTATTTATTTAAATAGCCACAGAAATTATCCTGAGTGTTCAGTATAAGGCAGCAGGGATGGGTCTCTGCACTAGAGACTATAGCATCTAAAATTACGGGTAGCATTAGGATTATTGTTGCTTTTTGCATGTGTGTGTTTTGGTTTGTGTTTTTTTTAAGTTTGGATTGGGAGAATATGGAGGAAAATATCAACATAAGTAACTGATACATAAGGTCAGAAGAAAAGCCCAGTGCCCTTTCTGTACACCAGTGTCTGCAAGCAGATTGCTAGGGAAAGCATTTAAGAAATGGGAGCAGTCTCCCAGCTTCTGGCAGTCAAGGTCTTATTGCTCCTTCAGGTTGCTTATGTTTGTTACTTAGTGCCTCGCAAATTTGTTAGTGTACTTATGCTAACACACTAATTCTGTTACATTTTAGTTTTAAAAATTAACATACACTAAGCAAATGTTCACTGCTTTCGCACAAGGCACAAATGACACCACAAAGAGGTGGCCAGGACATAGCCATGGCTGCATCGCACCAGATCGAGGGCTTGTGTAGCCCCATATCCAGTCCCCAGAAGAGACTTTGATTGGGTGCCTGAGAAGGGTCGGAGCAAAGCAAGCATGTGGTGATGCTCCCCCAGTCCTCTCCAGGCCTCCAACTGTTTTCAGTTCAGGGACTTCCTGAGCCAGATGTGGCTCTGTGTATTTGGTGACCTTCAGAAGATGTCTCTTCCCTGAACTTGTCCAGTCTTTGAGCCCATGTAAACTTTCAGCTTTCAAAACGTCACGTGGCAAGGAGTTGCAAACATCTGCCACCTCTGTGACGAGAGGACCCATCTCTCTTGTTTCAAAGGTTGCTCCTACTTGCTTATACCATGTATTGCCTATGAACTGATGTGGTGAATAAGATAGTTTTGTAGCTTTCCATCATATTCTTATTTCTTGGGTTCTTTTCCATACACAAAGGGTCATAGCTTCTTCATATGAAAACTGTTTCATACCTTTGATCGTTCTCATTACATTTCTCTGAACCTTTGTTTGACCCTTCCTAGTAAGCCCAAGAAGTCTGTAGGGAGGGATTTTCCTTTGCAAAAACTGTGTTGGTGTTTCCTAATTCTGATCTTCATTCTTGTCTGTCCTGATTTATCCAGAACAGTCATCGGTCCTTTATAGTCTGAAATTACTCACATCTCTGATTTGTTGTTTTGTGGGGGTTTGGTTTTGGTCTTTTCTTTTGTGGAGTTGTTTTTGTTTGTACTCCAGTCCTCACCTACCAAAGCAGCTTCAAGTCAGAGGCTGTGTCCCGTCATTAGTAATTCAGCTGTGCCATACTGGAATTTGTGTAGACCGCTGTGGTGGTACGGTATGGTCTTGAGCCTTTCTTACCATTCATTTGTTGGTTTGTCCTATGAAGAGTCCTGTCAGATGCAGACACATCCATTGAGTCCCTCACAAAGGAGGACTCCAGCATGGGAACCTCTCGAGATTTCTCCACAGTGCACACCAGTGCAAAAGATTATTCTCTGTGATGGCCCCCGTTTTCTCTGAATCTCCTTTTATACCTTGATCATCACTTGGCACTTCAGACTCCCTGGCAGACCTCCTGCTCTTGATGTGCTTGAAGAAATGATTCATTACTCATTTGATTCCCTTTCCTCGCTGCTCCTCCTGTTCTTTCTGGCCTGCCTTGTTACATTTGAAGTGCCAGAGTTTACAATCTTTTCTGTTTTCCTCACTTGGACTTGGTGTTGGCTAATTGAAGGATGCCTTTTTGGTTCTTGAAACCTGTGATGAGCCATGCTGATGTCCTTTGCTCTTCTCAAGTCTTTCCTAATAGGTGGTGCATATTGGTTTTGTGCCTTCCGTGTGGTTGTTAAGCAGCTTTGATGCTGCCAGTCAGATGTTATTTCTTGTAGCTGTCTGTTAGAGCTTCCTTTTAACAAGCTTTCTCCTTTTTATGTAGTTGCACTTTTTGAAGTTGAGCACAACGGTAGTAGATGCCTTGATTTTCGTTGTTCCTGTAGGGATGCTCAATTTGACTGTGGTACGGTTGCTGATGAGTCGTGGCTCTGCAGCCGTAGGATGTATGAGGAGATGACTCCTGCTGTTCAGGATGGAGCCAAGGGCAGTGGCTCCTTGTGCAGGCTCCCAAACCAGCAGCTCCATGGAGCAGCCTTTGGCAGCTGTGTGAAACCTTGGTCTCTGCTTGGTCACTTGCTCAGTTTGCATGGAAGGAGCTGAAATCTCCCTTTGTACAGCTGCACTGTGCCTTTGCTGATGTCGCTCGGTTTGCTGCTGCCAGTGTCACCGTAGTCCAGCCGTCCCTGGTGGTCCCAGCACTCTCCCTGATCTGACCAAGCTCCTGCTGCTTGGTGAGGTGGAGTTTTGTTTAGGTTTGTTCCTGAACTCTGTGTAGCATGTAATGTTCGTACGTCACCAGCTGCCTTCCCTGTGTATTTATATCCTAGGATGACACAAAATAGCCACTCAGTAATTGTCTCCCTTCTACCAGGTTTCTGGTACGACTGCTGCTGGTGCTTCTGTTTGAAGCTTGACGTCCCAGGGATCCAATTTTTCTTCTACTCCCTGCCTTGTGTGGAAGGCAGTGTATTGTTGGATTTTCTTCTTGCTGCCCTAGTTACTCTGCAGTCATCTGTGTCTGTTTTCATTCTTCGAATCTTCTTGACATCTTCACTTGATGACTCGGCACCTCCATGTCTTCATTTGTCATAGCAATGCTAGGCTTTTGAGCCATGTGTTCTTCTAAACCTTTCTCTTCAGTTCAACATTTCATTTTCTTGATCCTTAGGTACCAGTGACCTGGCTCCTATATTCAGGTGAGCTCCAGCCTTCCTGTACAAGTATCTTTACTCCAGAAATGCTCTGGTACCTAATGAAGCTGATCTCTTGCTTTGTCACCATCCTGTCAACTGGGTATTCACATTCTCTTTTTCTTCTTCCAGAAGCCCGTATATTGCTGTCAGGACATCCTTCCTTCTCTTCCTAGCATTACTGAGATCCAGATGGACCACACCATAGGTTTCTCCTCAGCATTTCCTAGGAACCAGTCCAGGCTCTGCGACCTTTGCAGCCGAGAGGCAAATCACCATGTGGGCTCCTGTCAGATCCCAGGCTCCAGCTGTCTTCTCTGCCTGATGATGCTCCAGCGCACCCCTTTTAGGCTGTATGATATCAGCCTCGTTTATGCATCAGCAGGGAGAGGGTATTTGTCAGAAGAGGGTTACTTTGGTCACTGAAACATCTGAGTACCTGTGAAATGATGGTAAAGGAAACTGAACTACCAGCTTCTGGCAGAAGTAATAGGAGCAGACCAGGTTATGATCAGAAAAACAACCTGCACACGTGTTTAAATTTGGCTTTATATTCTTGTTATCGCCTAGCAAATACTACTGTATTGTTGAATGAATGTAGTAAGCTAACTTTAGGTAGAACAGGTATGTGTTTACGTGTTGAGTAAACAGATTTATCGATGTATCAGAGACTCAGTGGGAACAATTCGGAGATCAAAGCACTTCAGTTCTGCTCAGGTATTGGAGACATTTTCTTAGGGTAGGGATGTGCAGGATCAATGGGAGACCCGTTCTGGAAGGGAGAAGTCCTATGTTGCATCTGGCATTCACTGCAAATAGTACTAAATAGCAGTGTGTAGGGGAAAAAACAGAGGCAACATAAGCACAATATCAGAAGCGTTTTGAAAGTGTGCTTTTTCAAATATCTCAAGAAAATGTCAGAGTCTATTGATTCAGGGCTTACTGAGTAAGGAGATGCAGAAAATTCCTCTGACTTTATAATTGACTTGCTTTTGTAACCTAAATTCTTAGGGAGTGTGTGGGTTTCTCAGTGCATGAGATGTGCTGATTTCTCTTAATAAGACCTGTAACAGATTATTTTGTGTTGCACTGGTATGTTGGTTTTGTTGGGGTGGGGGGTTATTTTGGTGCTGGTTTTTTGGCTTTTTTGTGTTAATGTGTGGGGGTTTTTTGTTTGGTTTTGTTTGACTTTTTTAAGATTTATCTTGATGGAAGGAGGAGACTGAGAGAGATTGAGCCAAACCCCATGTTGTTTTGTGTAAAGCCTAAACATACCTGTATACACAAAACCTGAAAACCTAAGGGTTGTGGGCAAAACACTTCACAAAAAATTGAACTTTATTGCTCCAAAAAAAAGACATTTCCCTTTCAAAATCTATTTTAGAGTTGTCTTTTTTTTTTTTTTCTTCCTAAGACAGTTCTACTTTTGGGCCAGTGCATGAGAATGATTCCTCTGTGGATCTGCCTCAATAGTGTGCCTGTGGAGAGCAAACATTTAAAATAACTGCTCCTGTATTTTAAGACTGGACATTACAGGATCACAATGTTCAGAAGCATAGCGTTTCCCTTAGAAGCATTTCTGGTAAAGAGTAACTACACAGAGCATTTGGGCTTCCTCCTGCTCAGGCAAGAGGATCCAAGGGCTTGCACTGAGGGCTGAGTAAAAAGTAGGACTTTTGGGTCAGGTGTGTTGCCGAGGGTATCACTTCTGGTCAGGTTGCCATGCAGATGTGATGTAGCTTGATTTTGCGTCCTCCTGCCTCAACTCATGCGTTTGCTTGTCTCTCCCAGCAGATCCCACCGCAGTATGGCCAGCAGGGCGTGAGTGGTAAGGCCAGCAGCCATACTACAACCAGCAGCCGCAGCACCTGCCGCCCCAGGCCCAGTACCTGTCGCAGGCCCAGCAGCGGTACCAGGCCCAGCAGGTAAGCACCGTCCTCTGCTACCGACCATTGCCCTGGGGCTGGGAGTGTCGAAGTTATCTGTGCAGAGTGAACAAAACTCACCCGGCCTCCTTCCAAGAGAACAGCTTGAAAAACAAAATTAAATAAACACCAGATCAGGCAACTTCCTTCTGAAAAGTGGGAATGTACACTAAAAATGCATCCGCACACACTTTCGGGCGTCATTTTACATCAGCTTTTTTGAATAAAGACAGTGTATCTACCCCAGCAACTATTAATTGTGCTTTTAAAAAGAAGTACCAGTTTGTTGATCGGATGTCAGTGGAGGCTGGAGGTTTTCCCTGCTTTTGTTTTGTTTTCCCCGCGCAAGGCAGGTGTTGTTGAGAGCTCCTGCATCTAACATGGTCACTACTGCTTTGTTTTTCATGTTATTTCATTTGAGGATAGATGAGGTCAAGGCGTTTTGGAGCTGCTTTGTCAAGGGACCTTCTCAGGAGGTATTTTTAATTGATGCTACAGCTATTAATTTGAATGTTGTCAGTCTGCACATCCAGTTAGTGAAGCTGCATCATTCAGTATCCATTGCTGTTCTTGAATTGTGCTTTATGTGGTAGCCATTAACATTCATTTAAAGCAATTCTGGTTTTAATTAAGATCAGAAGCAATAGTGTATGAGTCTGCCTGGATTTTAGATCCTGAGCAAAATGGATGTCCATCGCTGATGGAGCTGAGCGTGTAGGCTCGGTTCTGTCTGCGGTCTCAGCTCTGCTAATCACGGAAAGGTGATCTGGAAATGGAAGGATGGAGCTAAAGCAAACTCCTCATCCTGGGAAATCTAACAAAAGTGAGTTGCTCAAGACTGGGTATTAGTGGAAGCATCAGCACTTGCTGCAGGTCGCTGGGGAATTCTGTCAGGCACAGCTGATTAACATTTTGGGATAACGCTGGTGCAGTATAGAAACCCTAGCTTGAAATAAAAATAGTGTGTAAAATAAACTAACAAAAGATGCTTTTAAGTAGCAATGATACAGGAGGCTCCCCTCCTTCGATTTTAGAATAAAGCTATGATAATTTCACTGTGTAATTACATGTTAATTTTTCTTCATCTACATTTTAAAATTCCATTGAGAATTAACTTTTTTCATTAAAATGCTAGATGGTTTATGAAATAGAATTCTTAATTGTATCTGTGATATTCTTGTAAATGTCACCCCTTTCCATCTTTTGGATTATACGTAACTGCGACTTTAAAGACTGCAGTTGTGTCTTTAAATTTAATTTTCTCCCCTTTTACTCTGGCATTAAACACTTCATTTCTGTATGCCTTGAAAATACTGTTCATAAGCATTTGGTAAAGTTTTAGCAGATAAGATCCCTCTAATACAGCATATAGGATAGAAGAAACAGCTGCTCCAATGTCTACATATCACAGTTGATGAAATTGCAAGGATTTTGCTGCCTTGTCACCTCATCATATTTTAAATATTGTCAGTTGAATAGATTGACTATTTGAGTTTAAAAAAAAATGGACAAACCATACTGACTATACAGGACTTCAGGAATAACAAGGTACTGATTTATCTGTTGATACATGTTCCAGTTACATCTTACACTATTTGTGTGTAGATGGGAATATTTCATATAAATACTAAAAATCTAAGGCAGTTGCTTGGAGCAGAGGTCCCATCTCCTTGTCATTGAATCTCACTGGAAAAAAGAGGTTCACGATGGACGGGCAAGAGGCAGTGGGGACAGACTGGGACAAGGGAATTTGCAACTTGGTAAAAGTGGGGGGGCAATTACCATGAAGATTTTCAGACACTGAAAGGAGTCTAGAAGTGGCACATCCATCCTTGGAGATGCTCAAAATCCAACTAGACAAGGCTCCCAAACGCCCTGTTCCCACTTGTCTTGCTTTGAACTGGAGGTTTGACTAGATGACCTCTCTCTTTGAACCTGTGTGATTCTGTGTGGCTGTGATTTCATACTGGTTTTATATATTTTAAATATAGTTTTAAAATAAACTACAAAATCATATAATATCTTTTGCACCAGTTGGTGTATCTCTCTTATTTCTAACTCTCTTAAATGTTAATATTAACTGTTTATTTGATTGTGTCAGTTAGAAAACTGAGGTGGTCTCGATTATGCAATCTGTCATCTTTTCTATCTGTCATCCTTAGTTTTGCTCTTCTTTCCAGCTTGCAGGTGAATTGTCTCCATGTTTTCATCATTAACCATTTTTCTTGTCTTTTTATATTGATTTTTTCTTGCCTTTTGCACCCAAAATTAGTATTAGCAAGTCCTACCTTTGAATAGTCACAACTTTGAGGAATGTATAAAGTCAGCTGTTTCAGTGTGTTGGCCTCAAGAAGAGAAGCTGGCCCCTGGACGTGTTTTTGCCTTACGCTGGCTAGCCAAAATTATGGGGAAAATTTAGACTACAAGTGTTTTTCCTGGAAAGCATGGTTGAATCGTGAAGCCAGAGAATGTCACTGTAATAGTACTGGAGTAATTCATGGTAGCCCCAGTTGTGGATCAGGATGTTGTTACTGTGGTTAAGTATGTAACAAAAATGTGGGGTTTTTCACCCCAAAGAGTTGTTCTGTGATGGCCTGGAAGGTGGTCTTGCTTGTAGCAGGGGAGCAGCTGGAAGGTGAAGTTTCATGTTCTTTTTTTGGGTAAATAACCCCATCTCCATGATTGCTGCCTTTGTGATCCGAGTGCAGTTGAACTGGTGATACTTCAGGATGGAGAAGAGAAATGACAGTTTGGAGAAGGGGGGGTTTCTCAGTGATTTGCCTTTTCTTTATTTCCCTTGTAAGTTTATGACGATTTGTTTGTTTTGGAGACTATCAAGATGAAAGTAGTGATTATTCTGGACGATGGCCTTTTTCTTGCCACCAGTTTCCTTTTATGTAAAGCCCTGCAGTGTGCTGAACCTGGTATTTTTATTATGGGAAGAAAACGGATGCAGAATTTCATAGGGATAATGCTTTATTTTTGCTCTTTTAGACACCATGTGAGCGAGCTCCTGCAGTCAGGCATAATTCATAGTGCTGTGCCTTGGAGTTGGTACTCGTCTTCATTTCTCACGTAGTGTGGAGGTGTGAAGCCATTGCTCCTTTTCCTTGGCTCACTTGAATGCAATACGCGATCCTGGTCAATAAAAGTAAACAGATAAAATAATTTCCAGTGACTTGTGACTTGCCATTCTTCTAATAACCGTGGACGGGAAGGAGGGGAGTGGGATTTATTTGCAAGTTTGAACTGTACGCTATTTGGATCTTCGTTAAATTGATTGCACGGTGGGCAGAAAAGGGGGTTTCGTAAGAGGTGAGTTGATAGTAAAGCGGGCATAGTTTACTATAGAGCCACATTGTAAGCCGGCATCAGTCATCCCCTTTTCATACCAGGAGCCTGCTGTGTAAAAACCATTAAAGGAAGAGCTTTGTTTTAAGCAAATTTATTGCAGTAGCAGATTCATTGATCATTAGATATTGCCAGTACCATCTTTTTTATTTTTTTAACTTATTTTTACCTTTACTGCTCTTTAAAAGAGAAGAGAAAGATGTGCTACACTATGACAGTGTAGCCCTTGGCAGGGCTTTTCATCTTCAACTGACATATAAATGAATAAATGCTTCAGTTGTTTTTCCAGTTTTAAAACTTTTGCAATAAGTAGAAGTGATATTTTGCTCAAGAATGGCATGTAATTGCAAACTTAAACTGTCATCATTAAATATTATTTTGTTAAAATAGTGTGATGTATATTTGGGGTTATTATGTTTTCCAACTGGCTTTTTAACAGTCATGTTTATATATTTTCTTGGTTTATGTAGCATGTGTTCATCTGTATCGAGAGAGGATCATGCCTTTGAGCTTTAATGTGTTATTTTGAGTTAGGACCGTACAGCTTTTTGACAAATGAAGTGGATCTACAAAATAATTATGTTCTTAATCTTAGTTAAACAAAAATAGTTATTTTATTCTACACCTGCTCCTGTTCTCCAGAAGACATCTTTTATTTAAAGCATTCCTGGAAGCTTTCTGCTTGCAGTTTTCCAGCACAGAGGGGGATTATGCTGATCCCTTTTCTCAAGTGCACGAAATAAGATCAAAAAGGGGGAGGGGGAGGGGAAAGTGTGGTGGGACCTCAGAGCCCGTGCACTCTCCTGCAGTATTGGTCCTTCTGGTTCATAGCGTGGTCTAGGGACCACTTATGCTCCCGCAAGGGACTGTCGTGTCTGCAGTTGCCTGAACTGGGTCCATGGAGGCCTTAAATTTCAGGTTTGTTCCCGAACTGGTGAGAATGGCTTGAAGTCGTCTGAGTCGCAGGGCTGTGACAATGACGGGAATGTTCTTGTGCAGACATCTGTTTCTAGCGTTGAGTCAGTGCAAGGTAGGACAGCTAAAACATTGCCCAATTTGAAAATGTGAACAAAATGTGAAACTAATTAATCTGTTTTCATGTCCAAGCTGTATGACTGTCATGAAAACAGAACAAATTGTATTGTGGCAAAATGCATCAGATTATTAAAGTGATTTTGGTACAATGAGGATGAAGTCTTGTTTTTAAATTTGATATGAGCTGCTAAAGTTCTTTTAACAGCGTAAGCAGCATGTTAATTAACATTGTCAAGCTGTTTTGGTGTGTAACACTGTACAGAAATACTGGGTTGGTAAGTTGGGAATAGTTGTGTTACATGCAAATACCACATTTATTAGGAAGTAATACAGACAATCCTCAGAGTCCACATTTAAGTTTTATACCTCAGCACAATTACTCTTTTTTAAAAAATATCTACTCTTAAGTTACTAGAAACTGGCACAGAATTAACAGTCACCTGTACTGTATTTTTGTTGTAACTCCCGCAGAACTTAATTTAACCTTCTTTTAGAACATACAGGGCCTTGCAAGTAACGTAGAGCTGCCTATGGCTTAAAGTTGCAATAAAAATCATGTGTCCTTCTGTCCTTTTAACTCCTGCATCTGTACTCATCTACGGCCAGATGAGTGG